ATAACAAAGTATTCAATTGCTCTAAGTGTTCCCTGAGTTGTGTACCTTCAGCCATTCGTAAACCGAATAGACGTTGTTTCAGAAGCAGCTTGTTGGTTAGAGATTTTGTCATGTACAAACTCTCCAGCTTCAACCACAGACCAGCAGCAGTCTCTTCATCCGAGACCTCCGTGATGACGTCATCCGCGAGACACAGCATGATCGTCGAGTGCGCCTTTTCCTCCGGAATCGCCATCTCAGGAGTAATGACGGCGTTCTTGTCTTTTGACAACGGCGCCCAGAAGCCTCGCTGTTTCAACAAAGCCCGCATCTTGATCTGCCATAAACTGAAACTGTTCCTCCCTGTGAATTTGTCGATTTTCACGTTCAAAGCAGACATCTCGAATTCTCCAAGAACACCGATTAACCGAGAGGCTCTGATACCAATTTGTTGTGCGAAATTTGAGATAATACGAGAAAATATATAAACGAGAAAAATAAGACAACAGATTTACGTGGTTCACCAATAAATTGGCTACGTCCACGGGAAGAGAGGGAGCAGTTTTATTATGGAGAGGCAAAAACAGAGTTACAGAATAGGGTTTGCCATAGCGTCTATATATAGTGCTAAACTACGCCCTAACAGGCTTGGGCCCAACATACAGAATTGACAGAAAATTAAGGGCCCCCGTCCTTTCTGTTTGTAGCGGGTCCGATTCAAGGCATTCAACAGTTCTAAAATATGCTAGTAACTCGAAAACTTAAGTAGGTAAGGGAAGAAGAAAAATTCTTAAGTAACTCAAATGGTGTGTTCAAGAAGTCAAACAATAGAACGTCTAAGTATATAGTTAGCTCTAACAAAATATACATTATCTCCAACAATAGTAGGGATGAACGCATATGGAGCTATTTCAACAGCGCAAGATGGCAACTATATGCTACAAGCACGGTGCTTGAGAAAGGCGTAAAAAGCAGGTTGGTAAAGAGTTGGAAGGGACGACATTGTACATTCTACGGTTGAAAATTTTAGTTTATAACTTATAATTTTTTTCATCTTTTCATTTTATACATAGCTTTGTTTACCAATTTTCTGTAGTAATTGTATTTTAGATAATAACTAGTTATGTTTTCTCCTCCATAATATATGAAATTCTAACTGTGCTGGTCACAACTAATAGACAGTTGTCAATCAGCAATCACTATATTAATATTCTTTGCATGTACACATATCAAAACATTAGAATGGTTATATGATGCTTAAATTTTAAGCTTATGGGCACAGATCACAGGTTTAAACAACTAAAAATAAATGTAGAACATGCAATTTTATACACCAAATAAAACAAATCAACAAAATAAAGAAACAAAAACATTGGTCTGTCTGTAGCCTCTTCCCTAGGTTTGCTTGTAGAAAATTGCATTTATACTAGCGATACCAGGAGCCTCTTCCCTCGGACATCCTGTAGAAATTTAGAATGGAACATGTCTAATTTCGAACAGAATATATGCACTACTACCTGTAATACCCAGGGCAACACGTCTAACAAGTGTCTAAGCAATAACCAGGAACTCATAATAGGAAATAAATTGATACAAGGAAAGAGGATAAAGGAAGCAGGTAAATGAACCAAGTGACGTACCCAAAGGTTCTAGGCCAAAAACCTATTTAGGTACTTATATATCAACCCCATCCTCTACACCCACCCCATCTTCCTTTTCCTTTTTTTTGCTTACTTTCTTAATTTTCATCTGAATCAATACAAGGTTCTATGACTTCTAATCACATTTGGAATGATCATGATGCGATTCAATATATGCATTAATTTAGTTTTTATTGTTCATGTATTATCGTTAGTTTCTCAAGATAAATATTTTTTCATTATAATATTTAGTTTATCTTTAAATTAAAGTACTACATGTATCAGTAAAGTACTTTCAAAATTTCAAGAATTTCTATTCTCAACTTATGAGTTTTTTATTTTTGTTTTCTATTGTATTGCTTTGATTTTTATTTTGTAGCAAATAAAAAGTCTAATAATATATATGTGTGTGTGTGTGTATATATATATATGTGTGTGTGTGTGTGTGTGTGTGTGTGTGTCATATAAATTTTATCATTTGCAATAGAAGATTTGTTTTAAGTGTTTTGCGACAAACGTGCAATGCGCATTCTCAGAAACTAGTATTACTTAAAAGCCAATAAGTTCATTCCAAATCATACCTTTACATAAAGAATGTCAATTAAAAGAGAACAATGGAAGTATCTACCTTCAAACAAGGGACCACCCTTTATACTTCCTCAAGTACACAATAAATCAAACAATAACCTTATTAAGCCCCTATATGCCTAGAAGGTAAATAATAACAAACTAAACCCCCTATAATACCAACAACTACAAACATAAACCTATGATGGTGATAGTTAATGCTTATGACTTTGAGATATTCAATAAAATTAGTAGTACCATCAGTGCCAAGTGCCAAGGTATATTCACCTACCTCATGCCTCTAACAACCAGGTCATACCCGTGTGACTCCCTCTTCATGTTTAATGGACCAATCAAGGCCTCAGGCACAAAATACTCCAACCAACTCAAGAACGATAACATAAGAAAAAACAACTTTTAGGCAATGAAAAGAATTATAAAGATTGAACATTCGAATGAGTAACTCACAGTTTTCCGAACATAACCAAAGCGTTCATGAGGCCACTTAAGCAATTGCACTAGTACAATACATGCTAAACTTTGATTTTAATGCTCCAAACTCATCCAAAGTCCCATGAAGACAAATCATATGTGAAATTTGATTCTAAACAATAATAGTACAGATCTCAATGTAATCAATAATGCAACATTAAGAGGTCGCTCGCCAAATATTTTGCCAAACGTCAACACTTTTACTATTACAAAGAAAGTAACCATGTGTGTTCAAAATCGAAATGAAGACCTTGAGTCCCAAAACAAAGGTCCTACTATATCAAATTCAACATTCCAAAGCTAATGCGTTGAAAAAGTTCTTAGATAAATAATGACAAGGTCTTTGTAGACCAAACTCAATGTTTCATATCTAAGGAAACTATCAAAATTCCAATCTAAGGTATTCTATCTAAAATTTTGACCGAAGTCAACCGTTCAAGTTTCAAAGACTCCAAAACACAGAAACTCACACAAAACCCAAACAAACTATCTGATAACTAAACTATCAGTCTCGACAAATCATAAATTTGTTAGGCCTGCGATAAAAAAACTCTAAACTCTAAAATATTAGAAAATAGTAGAAATAACCTGAAGGTACGTTATAATTATTTTTATCTTCAAGTTGCATGTTTCAGTCGATTAAGTTGCATGATGTTATATGGTGGACCAATGATGTCTACCAGTATGTATTATTTGTAGTATACTACTCTTGGTATGCCATTTGTCATAGTTTTGTTGTAGGACTTAGAGATGTGAAGACGAAAATAATCTCTCGTAGCTTTTACTCTTCGTCCTTTATGGTGGAAACTACGTCTCTATAATATAAAAGTATGCATCCTATTTAAAGTTTTTATACCTGGTTAGACCAGTTCTTTGGGGGAAGGTTCACTGTAGTTGTATGCACTAGAAATTTATTTTAAAATTGAGTTAGGATGTAATGACCCGATTGGTCATATTTTTATTTTTCCATGAAATTTACCGCTTAACACTCTCGATATTGACCTTGAGTCTTCTATGTTTGAGTTTTAAAAGTTTATTTTGGAATTTGAGCTAAAATTTTATTTTCAAGCCCCAAGGCTATCCCCTTAACGTAAACATGGGACCTAGGATCTAGAGTGACCTTAAGCTAACACTGAGTTGGCATATCATACGCATACTTAAACAAAATATTGTGCAGAAGATAAAAATGAGAGAAGCTAAATGATCGGGAATACCCAATCTAAGTATGAGCATATATAAATACTGAGCAAGGTTTAAGACATTGAGCTACCTCTCGCAGGTTTTTAGAATTCGACATCAAGAAGTGTTTTCACACTATCTAAGAAATCGACTCATCCCATTCTTTAAGGAAGACATTGATGATCCCAAGTTCTTTTACCCCATTCATAAAGTCTTTTACGCCTGACTACTCATATGAGGTTAGAAGGGCCCTTACCTTGGACCATGTGTAATTAGTACAAGAGTGTCTAAATACAAAAAAATGACTATATACAACATATCTATATAATAAATATACATTATACATTCATAGTGCAAATATTTGAATGTCAAAAGCTCAACATGAATACAAAAATATGGGTACTCAGTTTGGGGGTAAGATTTCTCTTATTTAGGTGTTAGAGTAGGTATTTGCACGACCTAACGGGTAGGGCCACAATTTCCTTCATCAATAATTGATATCTCTATTCAAAGTAGTTATAATTTTTTTATAAATATTAGTGATATTAAAAATAATAAAGCTACAAGTAAAGAATATATGAGCTTAAACTAAATATCAAATTTAAAACAGATCTCAAAATTATAAAAAATATAACAATATTTTAATTAAAATATAACCAAAAAATACTTCTGTAACATTCTTTTGTGAAAATAGTCTGGCTAAAGTAAATAAGTCGGTGGAAACAAATAGTGATAAATAAAAGATAAATTATTATAAAATTATGAATATTGCTACTAATAGTTTAGACAAAAAGTATATACTAATTTACATACATAAATAATGGAAATTCATTTACAAATATTTATCTAATCAGATGGTAATAAATATGAGATATAAGTTAGTCAAAATTGGTGTAACCAACATAGATTCATAAGTCTGATTCCTAGTTAAGTACTAAATAACAAGTCCAAAAGACAATTAATTTTCTTTTCCACTTTCCATAGAATAGTTGTCTAGTTACATTTAATTTGTAATTTACCTACTTCTAGATTTAAAAATTTATTAATTGAATTCACTTGGAAAGTTGGTATACCAATCATGTCTTATATATATTAGGACTTGTGTTTTGAATCAATATACAAAATAAATAAAATTAATATCATTGAAGATTTGAGATATAGTAAAGTTGTAAAGAAGATGAAGAAGGATTCAACTATTGTATTCACTCTTGTTTGTGTGTTGTGTTTGCTCGGTTAGGTTTTCTTTTCTTTCACCTTCATCTTCTCTTTCCCTCTATTCCAGTCCCTCTCATTTTTCTCTTCATATATTGTATGTAATTAAAATTTTCCACACACGCAGATTTACTGAAACCCAATTTAGATCTATTTAATTTCTCACTAGATAGACATCAAATTTATGCAGAGACATAAAAACTAATTAGATAGTGTTGGTTAAATCTAGATACTTTGATTGGCTAAGGCTCCACTGAGGCAATTGTCATAGCAAAGCCTGGTAGAGGCATACAAATAAAATGAAAGATTTTACAACTTTATTCCTTTTGTTAAATTTAGTACCCACATTCAAAGTGCAATCTAAAAAAGTATGTGCTTTTCATTTGTTATTCATTTGAAGTTTACAAGTTCGAGTATGACCACACGATCATATTGATATTAATTGATTGAACTTCATGATAAACATAGTAGTACTAACTTGAAGAAACGATATATGTTTAATTTTTTATGTATTCGTCAGTGGATTTACTTGAATTAATGATATTAACATTTATTTTATTTTTTTTATGTAGGTTTACAACAATGTATGGTATTGGGAAAAGATCAACAGTGTCGAACATCAAAAGATTGTAGTCCTGATTTGTGTATAATTGGATATGTGCTTTGTTTTGATGGAAAATGTGTATGTAGTGACAAAATAAGGAGAAATGTTTCTTTCAAGAAAGACAATGTTTATATGGGTAAATGTTCTTGTGGATGTAAACCACATTGCGTCCTTGGATTGTGTACATGCCCTTGTTGTTGAGAGACAAATTTAAGACATGTTTGATGTATACGAGAGTAATTCATCTTATATTAATAAAAACTTAGAGAAGATTTTTTTTCTTATGATAATGAACACATTGTCTGCCAATTTGATACTTTCATTTCATTTACTCCAGTTTATACAGGGATAAATCTATCATGTTACTGATGGGATCATATGAGATTAAGAAATCTACTTATTATTTTTGAATAATTTATTTCACTTTGAATACAATTATTATCATGTAGGATTATCTTAAGATCTTTATGAAAATCATTAACTTCAAAATTCTAGGTTCACGTTTAAATTTATGTTGCAAATATTAATATACTAAAAGTGTGATTCCTCGAGTCTACCAAAAATCAAAATCATTGCTCATCCAAAGTAAGCCTGGTTTGACATACTATAAGATACAAAACTAAGTAATCTGGAAGCCAAGAATGATAATGATGGGTTAAAATGTTTATGTCATAACCAGACCACTGATCAATGCATAAAATTCTAAATCATATAGCATATAACAATTCCAACTAAAACTTAGAGAATGAACAAAAATTACTCTAAGCCTCAAAATAAATCAATAAAATAGCAAAAGTCTGAATATTACATTCTTATAATTTGACAGTAATTATACTAAAACTATTAAATTAGCTTGCATTGCTTGTAAAACCCCTTGAGATTTTAATCAAATGAGGAACACCAAAAGTTTGGTGATCGTGTGAACATGATACGAGAGAAAGCACATGAAAGGCCTTGCAAAAAGAAGGATGCAAAGGGAGGACAAATGTCGTTCCAAATTTGAAAGTTTTCCTTTTTGTATGAAGTGTTTGAGATGATAATCTATAATAAAAGGGGTCCTTAATATATTTTTTCACCTCAGAGGATTGTCGTCTTTCTTATGATTTGCAGTTCTTTTGTTGTGTTTTATACAGAAAGACAGAGACTTTTAAAACATTCACCTATAAATATCTAAGTATTCAGTCTAGGAAATCAGATTATCTAGCATACTTAACATATTACAATGCCCGGAATCGAGCCTTCAAAATTATTGGAAGAGAAAGTTTAGTAGTTAAGTTTGTAAGCATTCTGATAGTCGAGGGAACATTACCGGTGAAGTTATTACCTTAAAGTGTCAACTGTATGATTGCCTATATGGATTCTGGAATCAAGACTTGGAAACTGTTGGAATGGAAGAGAGGTCTAAGTGAATGATTTTGTTAAATTTTGAGATAGTTGACGGATTATTACAAGTGAAGTTGTTACCTGAAAGTGTCAACTCTCTGCTTGAAGTAAGGTGCCTAGAATCAAGACCGATAAAATGGTTTAAAGAGAGATCTAAAGACCTAAGAGATTGAAGGTTGCCAATTGCAACATGTAACATCCCTATAAGACTAGTGACAAAAAGTCGAACTCTAAAATACTTTTACTAAAACACCAATTGAAACTAGACCATATTCCTGGTAATAAATAATTCTCTTCCAATCAAAAACACTTGCTTGTTTGTTAGATGAAAAACCTGATACCCACATGTTCTCAAACATGTTGGTGCGTCTAATACTTTTGTATATAAGGGAAGAAGAAAAATTCTTTAGTAACTCAAATTATGTAATCAAGAAGTCAACAACAGAACCTTAAGTATATAGCTAGTTGGCTCCAACAAAATTTATATGTTATCTATAACAACAGTAGGCCTTAAAGAATAGGGATCTAATCAAAAACAAAAGAGAGATCTAATCTCAATGAGTATCACTCTAAAGCAGTTACTGTTTTCTCTTCATAATTTTGAGCTTCTTCACTTATGTTCAAGGTTGCCAAATGAATTCTGGAATCGAGAATAATACATGGTTTAAAGAGAGATAAATATACCAAAGAAAATTGGTTTGCCAATTGAATCAACTATTTTCCCAAATAAGCCAGTATAACAAAAGTCCAACTTTAAAATTCTTCCACTAAAACTCTAATTGAAATTAGGCTAATTTCCTATTAATAAAGAATTGTTTCCGTATTTCAGCACATGTAAGTTTGGTAGATGAAAAATCTAAGACTCACTTATGTTCTCAAATATGCTAGTAACTCGAAAACTTAAGTAGGTAAGGGAAGAAGAAAAATTCTTAGGTAACTCAAATGGTGTGTTCAGGAAGTCAAACAATAGAACGTCTAAGTATATAGTTAGCTCTAACAAAATATACATTAGCTCCAACAATAGTAGGGATGAACGCATATGGAGCTAATAAATAGCAAAAGAGGGCTATTTAAGCAGCGCAAGATGGCAACTATATGCTACAAGCACGGTGCTTGAGAAAGGCGTAAAAAGCAGGTCATTGGTTCAGCATCTAGGTAAAGAGTTGGAAGGGACAACATTGTACATTCTACGGTTGAAAATTTTAGTTTATAACTTATAATTTGTTTCATCTTTTCATTTTATACATAGTGTTGTTTACCAATTTTTTGTAGTAATTGTATTTTAGATAATAACTACTTATGTTTTCTCCTCCATAATATATGAAGTTCTAACTGTGCTGGTAACAACTAATAGACACTTGTCAATCAGCAATCACTATATTAATTTTCTTTGCATGTACACATATCAAAACATTAGAATGGTTATATGATGCTTAAATTTTAAGCTTATGGGCACAGATCACAGGTTTAAATAGCTAAAAATAAATGTAGAACATGCAATTTTATACACCAAATAAAACAAATCAACAAAATAAAGAAACAGAAACATTGGTCTGTCTGTAGCCTCAGCCCTAGGTTTGCCTGTAGAAAATTGCAATTATACTAGTGATACCAGGAAACTCTTCCCTCGGACATCCTGTAGAAGTTTAGAATGGAACATGTCTAATTTCGAACAGAATATATGCATTACTACCTGTAATACCCAGGGCACCACCTCTAACCAGAAATGCTACAAATCTACGAGGTTGTCCTAACTAAGATGATTGTGCAACGGTCCCACATCATGGAAACTCTGTAGACTAATGTCCAATCTCCCCACAAGTAAGGCAACTCACACAGGCTAAAGTCTGGGCTGAAGGATGCGACGAGTTGTCCTAGATACTTTTGTCAAATTGGATATCACCTCTAACACTCTGTGGACCATCCCTAGCTAATGTACCAGGGCCCTAGGGACCTTAAAATGTTGAGCATGTCACATGCACTATGTAAAGGCAGGGCACCCCTAAGCAAAATGTCCCAACTCACCACATGAATAACACTTCCTACCAAAAGTGACCTGACGAGGTGGCCCGCCTAAAATAAAGTGAACCCCAGAACTTGAATGCTCAGTATACTAATCTTAATAGGTTTGTTATGAACTCTGTCCACCGTAGGTACCATAACCTGCCACAAAACCACCTGCAACCTGAGGTGCCATGGGTTCGATAGGTCAAGAGTTAGGATGGCCCTCACTCAGATGATACCTACCTTAAGTAAGATGTTATTACCACACTACTAATGGCAAGTCCCTTTACCGCTACCTCTACAAATCTCAATACACGTATAGTCCACGTCCATCGTATGACTAACTACCAGGGGAAGAGTAGATCTAGCTGCTATCAAGTTATCTAATGCTAGACAGAGTGGGAAAGTGAATCCTCTAATAAATCACTCGGTCAGATCTCTCTCTATAGAAAATAATATGGAAGTATGTCCGGCACAGTTGAGAAACTCGATCATGTACTCAAAAACTGTCAGTAAACCCAACTGGATACCTAATAACCCAACTCTAGTATGTAAGTCGCTATTTTTACGAAGAACAACGCTAAGCCGTGGAGTATCCTCAAAGACACTCAAAACTCCCAAGTCTAAATATCAAGGAGCCGAGGTGGACACTAAGTCTGTAGGAACCTGACCTCCCCCCAATTCCTCTAGTTGTCGTTGAACATCCCTAGTGTCTTGACCAAGAATCAAAACCTTTGTGATACAAGTTGACATCCGATCTGCGTCCATCGAACACTTCGTGTTATCCATCTATATGAAAGAGTGATTTCAAGGAAGAAAGTATTTAGAGAATAATTGAATTAATTACACGCAATAAGGAATCAAAAATGGTATTTCCTAAGAATGCCATATAGCCTCCAAAAGATAGGATACAAATGTCTCCGCACCAATACGCAAGATTTTACTAGATACTTACTCCGATACCCAGCGATAACGACGAGCTTAGAGCTCTGATACCAATCTGTCAAGACTCAAAATCTTAGGTTATGATGGAATATACTACTTCTCACTGATGATAAAAAGCAAATTAAAGGTAACAGAGAATCAAATCAATATAGAAAATAAACCTTAAGACCTGGTATTAGTCGGTATTTGAGCAACTAATCAAAATAGGAGTGCAATAACAACAACAATAACAACAACAACAACAACAATAATAATAATAAATATAAATATAAAAATTTCTTTGAAAACAAAATGAAGACTAGTCCTAGACAAACGGAGGGAGATAGGCAACTCTAAATGTCAAGACCTCACTCCAGTCCCCGACTCCCAAGAGCTACTTTGCACGAGACCCAAATCGGTGGTGAGAACTTGTGGTATGATCTGCAAGCTGCATATGTGTAGTATGAGTACAAATAAGTGGCACTTAGTAGACATAAGCCGACAGAGCTCCAAAGAAAAAGCAAGCATAGACAACAGGTAAGAAGAGAGCATATATCACAAGTAACTAAAGCAATAATCTGGAAAATGTAATAGGAAACAAACTAATAAAAGGAAAAAAGGGTTAATGAAGCAAGGGGGCGCACCCGAATGCGCTAGGACAAAAAACTATTTACAATCATACTCAACTAAGGATGGAAACTAGTTGAAGGCATACTAATTGGATTAACCACAAATATCACATAAAATCCAAGAAGCCCATTCTAAAGCAAACCCCACCTAGAAAATGTCAATTAGAATAGAACAAAGGCAGTATATACCATCAAAAAAGGGACCATCTTTTATACTACCTCTACTACACAATCAATCAAACAATAACATTATCGAGCCCCTATATGCCAGAAGGTACAAAACAACAAATTAAACCCATACGCTCAACCATTAATGAAACAA